CAATGTCAGGTCGTGTACTGACCGCAAGGTGCATCAACGATCCTACGGCTTCATGATACGGGATGTTCTTCATGCGTGCTGACTCGTGCGGGGTTGTTGGGGATTGGGTGTGTGAGAGTGTGATGTTTGGATCCATAGGAATAGAGCAAGGCTTCATATCAATGAAATTATACTTGGTAAGGATGGCATCAATGTAGGTTTCATGGGAGAACGAGATAGTGCGTGCAATACAATTAGGCAAGAGCACGGGTAAACCCCCGGGTGTAAGAGATGTCACCCGTACCCGTACCTGGCACAATACCCACACCCGTCAAGTGGGTATGGGTTTTTTCATGGGTGTTATGTTAGAACACCCAGGGTAAGACCCACGACGGGTATACCCACGAGTCTGCTTGCTTGAACCTTGTAAATACAACATGAATGAAATATACTACAACTCAATCATGTCCCAGCCATCATCCATCTCGACGTCGTCACCTTTCACGTCAGCGAGTGCACTAACAGACAACACATCTTCAGTATGGACCAGATTAAGCCGGCTCCAAAAGCCCAGACACAATAGCGCGCGAGTGGATTGAGCATTGAGACGTGATCGCACATGTGAGAGTATCAAACGACCACGACTAAACAGTCGTTCAACATCCACCGAAGTCGCTGTTAAAAGCTGCGTGAGGCGGCAACCATTGAATATACAAAGAAAAATACTTACCTGGGATAGTAAGGTAGTCTAAGGCCATCCGTGAAAGATAAGGGTATGTTGTCCGGCGCTCATACCACCATGCGAGAGGGTCTGTGACATGCTCAATGTCAGTGCTGAGGTACCGATCCAGTTCGTCTCGAAGGTCCGTGATTTGAGGTGGTGCAAGTGCTGCCATATTGTCGAATATATTCTAGTTCATTAAAAATTAGCTACACTATGGCACTTGAGGTTAGAGAACTAATCACACTCACTGGGACACTTGAATCACAAGGGCGGGTGCTTTCCACAATCTCCTCATCTTCGCCAGGGTCGCTGTTGTCAGCATTGAGACGCAGCTCATATGCATTGCGAACAAGTGTCTCTGCCGTGTCGATCCACTGTTGTTCCCATTTCGCGCGCTTGAAATAAGCTAGCTTGTGACGTGGGTGAAGTACTATATCAAATTATAGTCAGTACGAGCATGAAAATAAATAAAGAACGTACCCATTGCAATACGGTAGACTTCAGAACTGTCGGTAAGTTCATAATAGCGGTTCAGAGTTTTTTTAGCGAGACCAGCAGCAACACGGATTGAGGGCAGAAGTTGTCGATTCATTGAGTGGGTAGTAAGCGTCTCGTCAATGAGGTCCATTGCTGGGATTACAGTGGCGAGATTAGGAGTTGAACGTGAGAAAAACAAGGTGGCGTCCTTGAGAATCTGCATGTGTTGTCAGCGTTGATGCTGACTTAATGCAACAGTGGCCAAACTCACCTTCAGAATGTCGTGCAACTGCTCCAGGATTGCCCACTCTCTGTCAGTTAGCTCCAATGCTCTCAGCCCCAAGTCCCGACACTGCGTTATCCTGTCGACAGCCTCTCGGTGCTTCAACGCTTGCTCCAACATATCGAATGTTGAGTTCCACCTTGTCGAAACGTCTCGAGGCAACATCCGGGTCGACATCTCAAGTTCTGTCAGAATATCATACCATGCAGGAAGGATTTTTGTGGTAGAGTGTATTATTTTATATGATAACTTTCGTATCTAATCAAATTTGGTCAACAGCAGCTCGTTCCTCACTCGTCAAGTGCTTACCTTGGCCAGAGCATCCTTGACAGGACGGACGCTGCTCTGCAACTCTCGTTGCTCCTCTGCATTCAAAATCGTAGCAGCATCGACCAATCCATCAATATCGTCATCATTATCGTTCTCGCTAGCATCACTGGTGTCACCTGCAAGCCCTTCATCATCTCCCTTGCCGACACCATCACTTTCTTGGTCATCCCAGCTGTCTCCCTCACCGCCATCACCCTTTTTCACATCGAATTCGCGGAGGACCGATTTTGCAACAAGATTCACAGTATGGAGGAAGCATCGAGTGTGACCTGCGCGCCCACCATAGTTCGGAAGCTCCACAGCGAGCTGGTCAATCATTTTGTTGTTATTAGATGCGTTGTCGCACGCAATGCAAAGGACCTTCGCGTCATTGGTAAGTCTCAATTGTTTGTATGGAATGGTTAGCTCACTTTGTCTGGGATTCTGAATTCTTCCAGGATCCCTTCAAATGCCCGCGCTAGCTCCTCCCCGGTGTGCGACTGTTACTGGATTAGCAACATCCTTTCTGTGAGTGATTTCCCTACCTTCGGTACTTCAACCACATCTAACGGAAAGCATAGCGGCACACCATTATGCTCCAAGTGGACCAATACTGCAATGAAGGCACGGTGGTTGGGTGATGTCCAAGCATCAGTTGAAAAATTGAGCCTGCCCGCATATTCCTAGTACGTGTTTTGTTATTATTGGCCTCGTTTGAACATTAATTAAACTAACCATCATCATTTTAGCAATTCGTTGTCGAGTTCGTGCAAAAACAAGCCGCACATCCCTCGAGACTGTGGACTTCGACGGTATGTAATACTCCGGTCGTCCTGTTTTCATAAGTGACTGAAATCCTCTGTCCTGCACGATTTCAAACGGCCGCAGATTCTCTGATACCCAGCGAACAATCTCGGCCCTGGTACACGACACATTAGAGGACAGCGCGGATAAGTTAGAATTGACCTTACTTTGTCTCAGCCTTGGTATGCTGACGATGCGAGTACGTTATTTTTTCCCTTTCCCTTTCTTTCAAATGAGGCTGTTATTGACCCATTTCGTAGTACACTGCCCACAATCTTCTTTCGCACTTCATTGGCGTCCTTGGCCTCATCGGCGGCTCGCAATACTTCTTCACCCCAGCACGACCGAACGTGTTTGCGCATGTTCCCTGTCGAGCGCGCATCACCTTTGTCGAGGTAACGTCTTACCGTAGTTTTGCAACCCTTGCCCTGGCACTTAAAGACATGTGCCCGCCGGCCATTCTCCTCGACAATCTTGGGAAATGGTTCAAAGAAAGCGTACACAGGTGAGATCCAGTCTTTCATGAATCGTTCTGTTGGTGTTTGATAAAATAATATCATTTCCTAGGTTTTCGAACATACTTAGCTCATCAGCGGCACTTTCGTCTTCATTTTCAGTCACCACAAGTTCAACATCATCGTTTTTCGCATTATCGCTATGTGAGTCTTCTTCCTCAGCTTCTGTATGGACGACAGCTTGTTGACTTGACGCAGGTGATGATCTCGACACTGCGATGTTCTTCTTCGATGCTGTTCTCGCAGCGCTTCCAGTGGGTGGGTTTGATTTTACCTTCTTCGGCTGTATCCTCACACTATCTCCATTGACATCAGCTTGGCGTTTTTTAGATGCAGTTTCTTCTAGTGCGGCTTGGGCTTTAGCAGAGACCTTGGGGACTCGTTTAGCAGTAGTATCAGAGTGCATGGTGTGAGTGAAGGGGCTGTGTTTTGTGCACTGTGTGCTAGCATTTTGCGTTGATGTTTGTAAATAGAGTTTGACATGTACAATATGTCCGAATTTCATTCATTTGATGGACCGTCATCAGTACTTGTACTAATATAATTTGAAACCCATGTCAGGGGTACGGGTACGGGTATGGGTACACTAATGTCAGACCCCTACCCATACCCCAGGGATACCCGTACCCGCAACCCGCACGGGTTACCCAGACCCGTGCTCTTGCCTAAATACAATCACGGGTGACTTTCATGCCAAGTAGTGAGGTGATAGGACCAAGGTCTGTTAATTTATAGTGTGAGGCGACATCTCGTTTGAACTCTGTGATAAGCTTGTTGTTACTGCTGGTCACTGCGCAGTCGTCAACGTGTGATGCGAGAATTAAGATGTCCGCGCCTATATGCTTGTAGAAAACTCCCCAGTCAGACTCTGCATGTGTCATGCCTAAACTCTTCAGCAATCGACACAACTCCTGATACCACTTCAGAGCTCCTTGTTTCGATCTGTAAAGTGCGACGTGCAACAATGCAACAGGATGTTTGAACTTTGTGTCGACCTTTAGACCAGGTGGGAGCTCCATGTAGATAATCTCGTCTTCGTTGAGCTTACCATTGAGGAAAGCGCTGTGGAAGTCGAAAACGTCGATATTCCAGTCGTTTTGTGCAGCAATGGCAAGGATGGTACGGAGGGATGCAAGGCGTGCAACGGGTGCGTAAGTGTCATAATAGTCTACGCCGTATACCTGGGAATAACCCTTAGCCACTAGCCGGGCTTTGTATTTGTCGATTTCCCCATCTGCGTTCTGCTTAATCCGGAATACCCACTTGCACCCTACTATGTTGGTGCCTTCTGGCCGCTCGACAATGGACCAGGTCCGTGCACCCTCTAGGGAGGTGAGTTCTTTGTTGATGGTGTCTTCCCACTTGGACAATCAGTCCGTTTACAGGCCTCTTTGATTGTTGTAGGGTCGCTTCCTTCTACAGCCGCAACTCCTGCCATCATAGCAAAAACCTCTTCATCATCCTCGTCTATCTCTCCATTCTCCCCCACCAGTCTGAGCTCGGCTGCCAAATGGGATTCTTCAGGGATGGGCTGCATACCACGGGGTAAGTCATTGCTGTGTCCATCTATAGTTCCTGTGCCATCGCGCAGACTTTTGATGTACGCTGACTCAACCCTCACTCGACTAGAGTGATGTGGCTGCGCCGTGCTTTCGAACTGTGGGCCAAGGTGATCAGAAGCAGTCGTTAGATTTGGTTGTGGGCTTGGGCTTTGACTGGTAGGTGTTGAACTGACATCATGGCCTCGTACCGTGTGGCTGACTGATGACGGAGGTGTGGAACCGACATGATTGCCTTGTGCCGTGCCGCTTGCCTTTTCCGTGGGTCCTTTCAGGGGCACCCTTACCTCTGCAGTGTCAAACATGACACTTCGTTCCACTGCTACTTGCCTGGCCTCAGGCAACCATACTCAGTGCCCATTGCTACTTGAATCGAAGCCCACCCATCTCCTGTCTATTGCTTGCATGTCAAGTTTCGAGCCATGGGTGGTATGGACCTTGACATGGCATCCCCATATTGGTAAGTTCATGAGATTGGGCTTTTTCTTGAATAACATTGCATAGGGTGTCATATTATTCAGCGTGCGAGTGATGGTACGATTCTTTAGCCATGTAGTGTGCATAATGGCCTCTCCCCACAGGAATTTTGGCAACTCGCTAGCATGTAGCAATGCGCGAGTCCATTCAGCGACGGTTTGGTTAAGGCATTTGGCTACGCCGTTGTGCTCCGGCGTGTCATGTATGGTGAGTTTGCGTTCAGTCCCTTTGCTCATGAGATAATGCGTGAAGTCATCACTAGTGAATTCTCCCCTGCAATCCGACTGAAGGTGTTTGATCTTGGTGTCAAACTGTGTGTTTGCCCAAGCTTCATAGTACTTGTAGGCATTGAATGGCTCATCCTTCGTGCGCAGAAGATACAGGTGAGAGTATCGCGTGTAATTGTCCATGAATGACACAAAATACTCTTTGTGTCCAGGGGTTCTCACTGGGGATGGTCCCCAGAGGTCACTGTGCACCTCGTCACTGAAGTTCTCACGTCGTGGGGGGTCTTGAATCTTGCCAATAGGTTTGCGTGTGGCCTTAGCATATTCGCAAGACTCACATCGTTCCATCATGGTCTCTGATGGGTCTAGGGTGATACCAGTGATCACATTGGAGCGGTGTATCCGCGACTGTGTGCCTGCGTGTTGCGAGCAAGGCAAGAAGTGGTGAAGAGCACTACGCTACGACAAAGCCTGAAGGACACTGAATGGCTCGCTAAACTACGGTGCTGCTCGGCTGCCACTCGGCTCCTACCCCTGGGGTCCCCTACTCCATGTGCCCCCCTTGAAAAAACGGCGGCGTCCTCGTCGCCCTCTAAACGCAGAAACTTGGTCTGACATGTGTGTCCAACCTAGTGTTCGAAGAGCACAGCTCAGATCTCGAAGACGTGGATCTTGTTCCCAATCCAGTGACGCAATGTGAGTTTGCGCACCAGGTATTTCAAGCGCTGGACATGGCGGGGATGCAACAAAGTCAACAGTTGCTGATGCTGCAGTGAAGTTTACAGAGGGTTTGACGAGCACGTTGTCCGATGCTGCAACTGCCAGTGCTACCTTGGGCAGTTCGAAGTCAGGCTGGGGCTGTGCTCGCTGCGGGAAGCTCCGACTGCATTGATCTGATGACCGACGGTGACGGCACTGAAGACTAGACCACAGGTTGGTGTTTGAGCTCCGTAGAACAGAAAAATCGCGTGGTTGTTGTGGCGGAAGTGTTGGTTGAGTGGGGAATGTGAATAGAACAGTTGAATCAACGTCATCTGCCCAGTTAAATGACTGAGCAGGGCTCGTGCCGTTAGTAGGCGCTGGTCGTGGACTGACAGTGTTGACTGTCTCAGTTTGTGTACCGCATGTTATGTAAGTCTTCGCTGCAATGGAGACAGTCTGGAAGCTGCGGTCTCTATAAAGACGGATGGGGGCAACCATAGTTCCAGCTCGTATGAGTGCAGCCTTCTGTTCCCTTGCGAGATCTTGTGCGGAGCGCTCGGAATAGACAGAGTAAGAGGCGTTAAGAGGCGTAACAATTACTGCGGGCGTGGTATGCGGAAAGTTGCGGGACCATCTGGTCAAAAATGCGGATTTGAGCTTTTGCCAAGAAAGCTTCTCATTGTACGGTAAGTCGAAAAACCACTGTAATGCAGTGCCTGCGAGAGAGTGGCTAAAGCATATATGGCGGGAGGCTATTGCAATGCCGGCGGCATCGAGCGCGCAGCTATAATCTTCCATCCATTCAGAAGCATCCTGCATGCCAGTCAACTTGCGGCAGGAAGGTCTAGCAGGGACAGACATGATGCTATAAAAGTGCGGGAGCCGAAAAACAGTGGTGGTTGTGGTTGAAAGTGCGCGAGAGTACGCCGAAGTGCGTGAACGTACGCGAAAGTGCTCGGTGTCGATGGGCTTCTCTACCCTGTGACACTGAACTCTACTAGAGTCCGTTGACTCTAATATGTGTTGCTCGTTACTCAACGAGACTCTCTCTAACTCTCAGGCTGGGTAATCTGGACTCTGGGCTCTGGACTCTAGACTCTGGACTCGAAGGGGGAAGGACCAAAGCGAAGCTTGGTTGAGGCGAACTCGCTCTGTTCACCAGTTGGAGCGGTGTATCCGCGACTGTGTGCCTGCATGTTGCGAGCAAGGCAAGAAGTGGTGAAGAGCACTATGCTACGACAAAGCCCGAAGGACACTGAATGGCTCGCTAAACTACGGTGCTGCTCGGCTGCCACTCGGCTCCTACCCCCGGGGTCCCCTACTCCAGCGTCATCACGAATCATTTGCAGGATGGTACTGGGGGCTATATGTCCTAGCCGGATATGTATTTCTTGCATGGTGAGCGATTCTTTAGCATTTGCTACTCCCGTGAATAACCTCCGTGGGCCTTTGATACAGTAAAGGCCTTTGTTCACTGGTACCTCCCCCAGCTTCTTCCTCTTTTCATCGAAAATCTTGCACGAACTCTCGTGGAATAGTGCAGCGTACCCAGCTGCAGCAAGACGATTGATGGAGACAAGTGTGACACCCATTTTCGGTGCATAAAGTACGTCTTTCAGGAGTAGTTTGATGCTTGATTGCCCATTAGGCAGTGTGATGAGTAGGGATCCTTTACCGGTGGCTTCAAAGGTGTGTTTGTTGGCGGTTGTGATGGGTTTTGGTGTGATGCTAACGAAGTCTTTGAATAGATCGCGATAGGACGACATGTGCCTTGATGCACCAGAGTCCAGTAACTCTGTTCGGGATTCAGACTGCGAGTTTGAGTTAGCCAGTGTGGCGTAGGTGAACGATGTTTGTTCATCCATCTCATCTGTATCATCCATATCATCCATTAACCAAACACCTTCAGGTTCATCGTCATTGCCCTTTTCCTTGGCGCTAGCGGCTGTTTCGGCTCTTTTGTCCTTGCCTTTGGTGTCAGGCCGCTCTTTGCCCTTCCCACCAGATGCTCCTCCCCCGGGTCCTTGACAATTGCGTTGCATATGACCATACTTGCCACAATTGTGGCAGTTTCCTTTGATTCTCCGAGTGCGCTGATTTGTGTTTGTGTTGTAGGCAGCGTCGTCATTCGAGGATCCGGCCTTCTTGGATTTGGAGGCTCAACGGTCGTATTCATCGACAATGGTCGACATCAACGTGTCAGAGGTGAGTATGACCTTTGATACTTTGGCTGATGCTGTCAGCGCTGATAAATGAGGGTCGTAGGACGCTGGGAGGGAGCTCATGATCATGGCCGTGAAGCTTTCGTCCATGGGCGCATGCCCCAACAATGACAGCTGTTCCTTCATGGTGTGCATCTTGTCAAAGTGCTCGTAGACGTTGCCCTTCTCTGGGCACTTCAGGTCTTGTAGCTTGCGCAGTAGCTCGACAGAGACTACGCGCAAGTGTTGCTCAAATAAACTCGAAAGGTGCATAAAGATCTCTTTAGCTGTGTCTAGATTTTTGATTTGAATGAATAGGGAATCAGGAATCATTCCCGTGATTTGCTGTTTCGTTATGGCTTGCCCGGTGCGCCATTCTTTCAATTCCATTTTGTATGTGCTAACCTCTTTTAATCCGTCTACAGTTGTCGGTACCCATGACACTCCTCTGCCAGACAAAGTCTGGGGGTCAATTGGCTTTGTCTCAGTGCCATCCAAATGGCCGAGCAGCCCACGAGCGTCTATGGACCGTTGAAGTCGCTCCTTGTACATCATCCAGTTCTCGCCATTGGCGACCAGCTTCAGGATCCGAAGAAAGTCATCGCCGAGTTTTCCATTGGAGGTCGACATAATTGTAAGTTTGTTCTCCGCGTTGAATTGGTTTTCAATTGACGAGCGCAGGGCTCATAACCTGCAGCAAGTATAGCTCAGCGACGGACGGAGTCAACTATATATATTGGGTACATCAGTAAATCACAAATTTCTCCACAGAATGTACACAAATCATGTTCCCACGACAGTGAGCCACAGAGTCCACAGTTCCGCCAAAGTCACAGCCAACAGTGGCTGCAAAGTATACATTGTCTCCAGTTACTCACAGTTCTACAGTATAATTCAAGAATTTATCAACTAATATAGGTAGTAGTTACATAGTACTTTTCTCTAGGTCTATACGACTCAGTTTCGTACGATATGACTTGGCTTCAAATTGAATGATCAAACTTAAACAGCCGCAGTGAAGATAGTTTAAGATCTGAGTGAGACGCATATGTTCATTCACGCCTGAGAGGACATACAACAAATAACACTGCATAGCGAAATATTCATGCAACAACAGCATATACATAAGTTGAGTATCATAATAATGTGAAGAGGGAGCGCTCGGATCAATCAAGCTGGACGGTGAGGTGACGACCACGTTCAGTATCTTCTACTGGGATAATCAACCTCCTGCATCAAGTTTCGTATCGTTAGCTTACCAGTTTGTAGGCGGCCATCGCGTGTTTGAGTCGGATGAGGAAAATGACTCCATCCATTCTTCTTAAATGCGATTCGCATGCACCCTAATCCAACATCCGCGTCCTCCAGTCGTTTTTCTGCTTCTTCAGCTCGATATCGGAGTAAGTTTGCCAACACTTCGTTCTCGCGTATTATACAGTCCGCCAGTGTCTTTTGCGCTAGATAAACTTGCCGCTTAGCTCTTACAAGGTCCAACACCAGGTTGGCCTCAGAGTCGGTTGGATCCTGTATGGACTGTTAAAATGTAAGGTACATCGAAAAAGCGAATTTCAAGATCGACATCACCAAGGAATTGACAGAATGAAGAACATTGTATATGTCATATGCACCCGATGGTCCTTCGCGATGATGTAAACGGGAGATCTGCTCGTCCATCCCTGGTGCGCGTGCTGATAGAGATCGCAGTTTGGTTATGTTCATGGTAGTATTGTTTAAGTCAGTATCGGAAAATGCCGAAATATCGATCAGAAGGTTAATGATGACTGTCGTATGTCTCACCCTTACCCTTATGCCTCAATGTCCATCGTGCGGAAAAATTCTGAAGGACCACACATCTGTCACTCGCCATATGAGCCAGCCCCGGTCTGGCTGCAACACGTGGCTAGAAGATATCATCAAGCTTAATTCCCTCATTCCACGCAACACGTGGCTAGAAGATATCATCAAGCTTAATTCCCTCATTCCACCCTTGGACCCAGTGAATATCGAGCACGACATTTCTCATGAACCAGAACTCGGAGGCAAGGCCTTGGTAGTTGACTTTGGTGATGATGGCGGTGAATTCGGTGATGAAGAGAATATCATGGGAGGTGGAATTATGGATGAGGGCGGTGAAGTAACCGAATACTATCCTGACCCTCCACTTGCCTATCAGGATGGCTACACCTTTTTGAACCTATTTGACGCTGACGAAAATAGTGTGTATCGCAAGAACAACCTTTACTATCCATTTAGTGGTCGAAGAGATTGGCAAGTTGCGGCATGGCTGCTTCGTTCGGGCCTGAGCATGGGCAAGATCGATTCCTTCCTATCGCTTGAAATGGTGAGTGTCCGAACTTCATACTGGTTACCATTCCATAACTGTTGGACTTTCTAGATCAAAGAATTACCTTTGTCATTCTCCTCAGCTAAAGAACTACGGGGTCGAGCTGAAATGCTCCCCAGTGGTCCGCGTTGGATGTCCAAAGTAATACCCACATCGCATGCAACAAAGTCACCGGTAGTTTTATATTGGCGCGACCCTCTAGAATGCATCGCCAGCATCTTCAACAACCCCATATTTCACAATCGTATTGATTCCAGGCCTCGCAAGGTGTACACTACTGCAGAGAAGCGGTGTCGTGTATATACTGAATGGATGACGGGAAATGATGCTTGGGATATGCAGGTGCGTACCATGTTGACTTTCGGTGTCTCTGGCTTATTTATCCTTGAAGGCCGCTATACCTAGTGGTGCGACCCTCCTCGGTACCATCCTATCCTCCGACAAGACGAACATCACTGCCTTAACAGGCGATCGCATTGCTCACCCACTTCTTATAAGCCTTGCAAACATACATATGAATATACGTCTAAAATCGTCTTCGAGTGCTTTCGTTCTCACCGCTCTACTACCGGTCCCGAAGTTCGTGCATAAGAAGAAACGAATGAAGGGTGTATTGGAGGATCGCCTCATACATGAATGTTTGGACATCGTTCTTGAACCTCTGAAACAGGCAGCTCGACATGGCGTCATGCTATCGGATCCCATTGGCAACAGTCGTTATTGCTTCACCCCGCTTGCCAGTTATATTGCTGACACCCCTGAAGCCATGATGTTAGCAACGGTCGGTGGCAAAACATCGCCAGTGACCATGGCAATGTATAAGCAGTTCGGGGATGCCTTCCAGCATGAACCTCGGACGAAATCCACGACTCTTGCGCAGCTTACAGTTGTGCGTTCACGCGCTGATCCCCTCGATATCGAGGCCTTCTTCCGCGAGGCACAGAAGTTCCGCCTGAATGGGGTTGCTGAGCCGTTCTTTCGAGACTGGATACTCGCGGAACCATCTCATTTCTTTACACCGGAAGACCTTCACCACATTCATAAAGAATTCTGGGACCATGACGCGCAATGGCTCATTTGTGCAGTCGGAGAGTCCGAGATTGATTTCCGGTTTTCTGTTTTGCAGCCGATCACTGGTTATCAGCACTTCCACGGAGGCATTTCGAAACTGAAACAGGTTACCGGTCGTTGTCATCGTGATGTTCAACGATACATCATTGCAGTATGTGCGGACGCAGCTCCTGGTGTTCTCACTGCCGTACGCGCACTCATGCAGTTCCGTTATCGTGTGCAGTCACCACGCATCGACGACGATGATATCAGGCGCATATCAGGCGCATTGGACGAGTTTCATTCAAACAAGGATTCAATTATCGCTGCGGGAGTTCGCCGAGGGAAGGGTAATAGACCTATTGCCAATTGGCATATACCCAAGTTGGAGTTAATGCAGAACATTGTTCCAAGCATTCGCAACTCTGGGGTCATCAGACAGTGGTCTGCGGATGTCACAGAACATGCGCATGTGACTGAAATCAAAGACCCTGCAAGGGCAAGCAACAATCACAACTACGATCCTCAGATATGTCGACACTTGGACCGTGCCGAAAAGTGTCAGCGCTTTGAGCTCGCCACTAGCCTTTTGGATGCAAAACAGACTACTGAGCAGCTGGAGAACATCAACATCGATGCTGACGCTGACGATGCCGATGCTGATGCTGACACTCCAATCGAACTTTCCGCGGTGCAGGAACTCCCACGTCATCCTGTCATCAGCTATTTTGCCATTGCTAGGGCATTGCAGTACAGACCCCTGGGTTCTGTACCTCTTCCATTACGTTCATTTGTCGTCGGCCGCACTGCATTTCATATTGCATACGATGCGTCCATTAGGAAGATCTCTATCGACGACGTCGCCATCAAATTTTCCCTTCCAGATCTGCGACCAGCTATCGCTGATTTCATTCAGCGTGAGGCGACTTGTGGAGACCAACACATCCATGCAATAGGCGGTCCAAGAAGAGGGGCACATACGGCTATCCTTCCTTTTGACAGGGTTCAAGTCTGGTTCAAAGTTCGCTTACAAGAAACAGAATTTCACGATGCTCACACTATCAGACCAGCTCAAACACTAAATTGTGCCCCACCCTGCCACCCCTGGAATTTAGGTCGTTATGACACAGCTATCGTTCAAACTAGTGCGGGCTTTTCATGGCCTAGTAGTGGACTTTCAGGTGTGAATTCTGTCTTGTGTCACAATACTTGTCTCAGCCTCAACTGTACCCTGTATAGGTCACACTGTCGCCCAGATCAGACTGATCATGCGGCCTATTGGTAAGAGCGGCACATCATGGTCATGGAAAGACCAATTTCTCAGCTACGTGCAATGCTTCGATATCTCGCATGATCGTGATGCAACTACGCAACTTCATGTACTCAAACGCTCAAAACACTCAAATGGTGTTCGGATGGGGGACGTGATTCCGCTCTCTCAACTAAGGGCGCCTATAAATCTTGTTCCTCGCTTTGGAGCCACTGCAGATAAACGCCTCACTGTTTATAATAGCATGGAGCATGCCGCGGAGTTTTGGTTGAATGAGTATTGGGAAAAACACACATTCTTTGCCCTATCAGCATAGTATTTGATTCGAGATAAGACCATTTTGTGTGCTATCATTTCTTTACTTTCCATATGTATGCTGGCATGGTTTTTTTCGGAGTTCTATGCCTCGTTATGCCAACTGCGAGACACGCCAGAACAATCGACCTAGGGAAAAAACTGTCATCCTTCTTGACAGCTCCCCCCATCCATAATATAAAAGTGATGGATGAACTCACAACTTCTGAACTCAACCGCTTGATACTCCATGAGCCTGCGTTTACCAACAAAGACGAGCTCAGCCATACCTTATCTCTTATATTCCAGTCATGCACTGTTGAAGTCCCCAAAGCGGAGGATCTTGTGGTTCCGTTAAGCAAGATACCCCCCGACAGTCAGCTCGATGATCTGGAAGCTTTTTCTCTGGCTCCAGATGGAGCTCCCATGGTGCCGCTATATAACACTCAAAAGCGTCGATGGAATTGGCCCCTTCCAACAATGCATGGACAGGGACGAACTACGAAAAAAAGTGAGCGAGGAGGAACTGAGAGTGGCACAAAAGAGAAGTCGGGAGAATGGGTGTTGATCGATGAAACGAACAAAACCGAGTTACTAGCCTCTGGGGGGCTGGATGCACCGCTGGCATCTACAAGTGAAGCTACCGAGAGCATGCTGCCATTCGCTGATGCAGACCTTTTGACGGATGAAGGATCGAAGTCAGACGACGGGGAGGACAGGGACTTGGACTGCCTGTCTTCCTCAGCTGTAGCCTCGGAGGGTCCATTAACGACAGAACGCATCTTCTCATCATTCTTCAATGTTGTTTCTACGGCCCTCCTTGCATTGCAGCCTGATCTTGCTCACACACGCAACTTATCACGCACCTGGAGTGCGGCAAATTCATCACGCCCAGTACCTGGTGAAGAAATCCCGCGCAAACCAGATCTTACCCTACTAGACAATGTTGAAGCTAGGTGGGATACGATCAAAGCGGTATGCGAGTTGACATCCAGCGCATACAAACCTTCGAGCACCCTTGCGAAGACTCTTGATACCAAAGCATACCTTCTTCTAAAGCACCAACCCTGGAGACGGTTTGCGCTGCTGATATCCTTGTGCAATGGGTATCGCGATCTTCGTGTCCACCTGTACGACCATTCCGGAGGTGTCGTAAGCCCTTGCACTAACATCGATCAAGAACCAGACAGATACTTGTATATCTTGTCATGCGTTGTATTTGGTAATCTTGAGTGCATCGGATACGACACCACAATCAGCATATTCGCGCATACACTTCCGCAGACTCTCAAAACACATTCTACTTGCCTCCTGCAGAACGAAGGTTCATCCCAGGACGTCGCACCAACTCACTCCCCGGGCCAGATCGAGAGCACATCCCCCCCCCAGTTCGAGAGTACATCTTCACTTGCTAGTACCACTCCTCAGATTGACTTGGAGACAGAACCTACCGAGGATAACGCCGATGAAGATGACGGTAGCTTCCCAGTGGAACTCCCAATAGAGATCCCTCAGGATCCTCTTCTCGAACCTCTGCCGGAGCCAATCGGGAAGATACGGGTCAACGACCATTTTTATGACATTTTGGATATTATTTTTTCGAGGCAGGGTCTTGTGGGCCGCGGTACTGTTTGCTATCATGTGAGGAAGAATGATGAGGAGTTTATAATCAAGGACTACTGGGCCATTGGAGGAAATAAAGAAGCCTTGAATGAAATCAAGATGATGGAGAAGATGAAAGGCGTCTGTGGTGTCCCCCAGCTGGTTGAATATTGGCTCGTTGAGGTCACCCCTGGCAAGGTGGATCAAACAGTGGAATATCGCTACAGGTCCGTGCGAAGTCTGCAGGGTACATTCCGTACTCACATTCGCGTGGTCTTGAAACCCCGGGGATGACCTTTACACAAATTCCGCACAAAGTACGAGTTGCTGGCCTCGGTACGGGATATCGTGCAAAGTAAGTATCATACATTGTGATGCGCGAGCATTTACTGACCTATCTTTAGTTCAGAAGGAAGCAGTTGAACAACGCAATGTTCTTCACCGCGATTGTAGTCTCTTCAATGCCATGATCGAGGACGATGGTAACGGCACCCACGGAATGCTGATAGATTGGGAGTTTGCCGTGAAGATCTTGAAGAATCAGAGTTACACTGTTGGGGGCACCGTCAGTATTTCTTTTGAGTTAGTTGAGAAATCAACGTTGAACGTTGTATTTAGGGCACATTACCCTTCATGTCCCGAGCACTTCTCCTGCAGCTCCACCTCAAGACTCCAACTGATGTGCTCGAGCTTAAGGGGGCCTCAAGTTCGAGACCATACCCACCCCCCCTAATCAAGCACTGCTACCAAGACGACCTCGAGTCCATGTTCTATGTCTTCATATGGATTCTCATCGAGTTCAGGGGTCCCCTTGGCATGAAGCGTATTCTCGACAAGAGCCACAATTGGATACCGCACGAGTGGTCTGCCTCGAAGTTCAAGACGTGCTGCGATAGTAAAACATCATTTTTTTGGCACGATGAGCACTACGTCAAGGAGCTTACTGAACAAATCCATCCATACTTCAAAAGCCTCATTCCTGTTGTGTTGGATTGGTATGAGCTCATGAAAAACCCGAAAAACGTGCATTTCGACGACGTGCTTACGGTGTTGAATAAACATCTTGCGGACCTTCCGATGGATGAGCCCTCACCCGAACTCCTGGTTTCAAGGTGGTTGCTCAGGGCACTCAAGGAACAGGATGAGAAAGATGAGAAGGAGGGCCCAAGTGTTGAGGAAAAGATGTCGCAGTCGGTTGCTGGGACTCTGCCGGGCAACAAGAACAAGCGAGTCATAGATTATCGATGGACGATGGAAGCTATGCCCAAGCCGAAGAGGTCCAAGACTCGGAGATAGGAACTTGAAAACGCATCTGATTCATTATGTCATTTCAATTGGATTTGTTTGAGTCACTGATGATATATATAATCGCGCTAACCTCCGCACAACATGATACCATACGACTACATCATTACTCAACCACATCATTTGTATCATGCCTGCAGGCCAACACTCGACTAATATCTCTGAACACGTTGATTCTGACTTCACTAAAATTCCACGCTGTTACCCACGCCGAGCTCGAGTCATAGTAATTGCGATACATTCCTTATTAAAAGCCATCAAGGTAAGTTTTTTGTTTCCTTCATGCCAGTTTCTCCCTGGTGTCAGCCTCAGATGCCATCTCAACGTCAGGACCCAGCTCGCACTAGCCCTAAGAAGAGGAAGACAAAGCGCAAAGCCGCGGATTCTGACGGGCGGGATGTGTCAACCAAGAAATCGCGGGCTGAGGCTGAAGCACCCATCGCGTCGCAGCAGCCTACTCGACGTTCTGGACGTCCTGGTGCTGGAACAGGAGGTAGAGTTAGTCAACTCGAGATCATTGGAGCACTCTTGGGTGCCCCAGCACATACCAGCCAGCCCAAAGGCTCCACCTCCCTCGACTCTAGTATCCCTACCAATCCGCTTGCTCCAGAACCGCCTCACAAGAGAGGCCGGATGAAGGTTTTTTTCGTTTTTTACTTGTAGTAACAGACTGATCACTCTGAATACATCAGAAGCCCCCTCCACCATATAGTGCCTCTGGCAAGCCGATGGATTCTGCGCCTTCGAGACCACAGGGGGAAAAAGCTACAGTGGCGAAGAAACCTGCTCCCGTTGCCTCAACTGTCGAGTCCATGGATTCTGCGCCTTCGAAACCACGGGGAAAAAAAGCTACATTGACGAAGAAAACTACTCCCGTTGCCTCGACTGTCGAGCCCCCAAACCTCCAACCCAGTTTCGTACATCGTGAAGCGGGTGCACGCTTTGGTTTTTCTCAGTTCATCGTTCCCCCTGGTACAGAGCCTGACCTGCAGGCACTCAACAACCCTTTTGTGGCTGCAGCCAGGGAGAAGCAGGCTCTTTCAGCAGGTCTAGCTGCACGTCAGCCTGATGCTAACTCAGACTTATTCCAGAACCTGGATCCTACCCTTCGGCCAGTCAACAACGGACCGCAAGATTCAGGAGCTGAAAGCACGGAGACATCTAGTGAGGGTGGCGATGGAAATACTGACGACGACGACGATGACGAAGATCACACGGACAATGAAGTTGGCTGGGGAGCAGCGCAGGGGCGCGTGACTGAACATCCTGGTAAGCAAATCAATGATCACCATCATGACATACTAAACGAGCGACAGGTTTCTCAAAAGAAGATTTACCGTCTCAACCCCATGTCGCTCGTGCTCTTCCAACCGACTTCAATTTTCAATATTCACGTGATGAAGGTGACATTAACGCAGAAAGATCTTTGGCAGATGATATCTCCAGTACTGATGATACCACGACCAAGGTATAGTTTATTTAGTTTCCTGAAAGCCTACTAATTTTCTGTTTGTTTGGCAGCCGGCTGAACCTAAGCCAGATGATGTCTTACAGCGCCACCACCAGAAAAATGGACGCCCTCGACTTCCTGATCCACAAGTTCTTGACCTCCTACGTCACGCCGAGACAAAGTCTTCCAAGTCAAAGGACACAAACGTCAAGACTACATCAGCAAAAGTGAAGGAATCAGGTGATGGGCCTAGAGCCACTCAACTAGGCTGGTATGGTCCACGATGGAAAAACTTCCTTGAGGTTACGAAGAGCGAGTGCCGCGCCCAACACGCGATAGAGAACCCATTCCCCAAACTAGCGAAAGATTTGACAGGTTCCATCAACGAGATACTCATGGCTTCGCTTGTCGAATGGCTCGAGGGTGGTCAACAAGTCGAAGAGGGTAGGTCTTTTTTGCTGTCGAGATATTTTACTGACGTGTCTACCAGGTATTTGGCCTGATCGCAAGCATGATATGGCAAAACTGGTGTGTGCATTCATTGGCACGCATCCGATATCTAACGTGCTGTTATGTTAGCTGTATGAGGATTTATCAACGTGGCGCTCGGACCTCAAGAAGACCGTTGCCAGTATTGTGCCCTCCATGTACGACCTCATACCTCCATCTCATGTCCCACCCCAACAACGTGCTGCCTGGGTTGAAGAAGCTGCCACGGAGTTGCTCAAAGACGCTATTTTCTTACGCAACGGTGTAGATGAAAATGGGAAAACCGAAAACGCCTCTCATCCTGTGCTCCGCGAGGCTTCTATCTCTTTCTTCTATACAGGGTCTTACCGTGTTGCTCGCAGGAGACCTGAGGTCTTCCAGAAGTCTTTACCGCTAGAGTGCTTGGCACTGGTTTGCACCGCGGTATTTTTTCGTCCTTCCATGTCCTACTAACAACACACTGACCACATGTTTGATAGGTTAATTGTGTCCTAGATGGCTTTGCTAAGAACGGCAGCGGAAAATCATTTCCGAAGTTCACCGCAAAGGAATACTCTTCTTTGTATACTGCTATGCTCACTAACCTGGAATCGATCATGCGTGACCCTTACCATGGACCGAAATTAGCGCGGCAACTTCGTTCCTGGGCTGCAGCTGGATGGCAAGGAGTTTTTGCTTTCGAAGTATTGCATGCTGATGAAGTTCTCACAGGGCGGAGTCCTACAAAGTCGACGGCAATGTGAATGACGCTTCGAGACATTCTCATTTGAAAATCATCCTTGATTGACGTCTTTCTATTCTTGACATTATTGCCCCGCATTGATTCTATCTCGAGCGTCGTTTAGTGTAGTATGCATCTGATTGAATGCTATTATTGATTTTGTCGATTTTTTGCTTGTGTGTACATGTGTGAACAGTCGAGCAGCTAGCAGCAGCGGCACAATTATATTTTATTGGTACAAGAGCCCTTCTCTGGGTGTCTGTGAGTTATCTGTACAGAGATCTACAGAGTGAAGTAGTACTGTAGTGAGCTGTATAGAAGGGACCAAGCTGTCGGCCTGTCACACTGTACAGTTCTGTACAGTTCTGTACAGAACCGAGTGATTTACTGATGTATAGTACCTGCAGCAAGTATAGCTGCATAGGATGTGAGTTACATGTATGATATATATGAGAACGATACTGACCTCAGCGATGGATGGAGTCAACTGAGGAAAGCAGGCAAGTGAAGAGCAAAGGAAAATTTCTAGGTGGTTAGATAAGCAAACGGCACCGAAGGACAATAGCGAGTGTTTAATATCCAACACTTCTTCTGACTGCTATAAGTTGATTCCATCTACAGGTTGTCATGCGCAACCATGGCCACCATATGGACATGCAGCCCTACATCTGTGCTGGCCCATATACACACAAGATTATGCATACAAGCTGTCATTGATACAGGCCGTACAGCCTATCATCAAGCGATGACAGGACACTACTGTTACACGTAGTCTCATCGAAAACCACCGCTAACATCAGATTCTTCCCGTGTTTGCACGAGCTAGTCATCGTGAGACTGATTCGTGGTTCACGACACTACAATGTGCTACTGTCATTCTCGCCTGCACAACCAGCCACATCGTCAGACAGGTTTTACTCATTTGGCATGTTTAGCTTGAATTCATCAATTTATCTTAGCTATTCTTAGCCAAGTGGTTAACAGGTTCAAGATCTATTTGCGCAGGTTTAAAACTCGCCAACAATGTTTTTCTCCACAAGTTTCTCCATGATTGCACCTTGTGCATGAGGGTTAGGGTTAGTATACATCCTGTTAGGGTTAGTTAGGGTTTTGCATGTGTCATCAAATACGCAGTACATGTGGTGATATCTACTATAACATAAAGGTTTGGAAAGGACAGAAATCCTAGCGGGAGCTGGAAGCAGACAGACTCGTTCGTCTGCTGTGTGAAAGACATGGGAACTGCAAGGTATCTGATAACTGGAACATGTTCAATGTCTAACGGGGAAGGGGGTCTGGGCGGAATGTCCTCGAAGCTGATCTACAGGCGGCCTGTAGATCAGCTTCGAGGACATTTCGTAGGTATTTCTCGTGACTCGTCCCATATGTCAGATTTACACTCTTGGATTATGAATATAAATAACAGCAAAAATGCATACCGCTACAATATCTCTACTATGCATTGTCTCTCGACGCTGTCTATCGAGATCTACAATATATAATCTCCAATATATAAGCATGAGATATCGCCGGCGATGTTGTCCACCGCGTTGTCGCGTGTTCAACATCCATGCTCCTAGGGCGACCTCTGCTTCATTTCACGGCGTTGTTGGACCACAAACTTCGACGACACAATAACAGCAAATTCGGTTAATTCCCCTCGAGATTGTAGAATATTTGCCTCCGCGTATGGGCTATCATATTCATCGATGACCCCACCGACAATGGATCCTAGACTATGTTATCATGATCCATGGCGCAAGTATGGCATGTGCGTAGTACTCGACTCGTCGCATGCACATCTGGGGAGAGCACAAACCACGTGTTCGTACACTCATTCTCACTCAATATGCCAGCCCTTCATCTTTTCCTACAAATTCCTCACTCACTAGTTACTCGGCGCTCTTCCTAGTCAATGATTATAAGGAAGGACTACCTCAGGGATGAAAATTAGCAACGGACACGATCACGCGTGGATGCTAATATCTATTAATTAGTATTATCTATGGTATATGTTACTAATGAAACAGCAACCTGGCCTCCTTCGTTCTATGTCATAGCAATGCTAGAGTCGCCATCGCTTCTCCTATCTTCGCATCGTCCAACGCTTCATGTATCTTCGCCTTGTCCTGCGCCCATGTTGGAGAGGCGATCCTGAATGCATCTCCAATGCGCGCATATGAGATATCGCCCACACGCGCGACAGGCTTGAACTTTGTCAGGTCGATCACACCTCTCTGTGTGAGCATGTCTTTGCGCACGTGGATGTACTTGACGTGCGCGAGAATGAGCGTGCTGGTGTGCTCGCCTGTGACTGGGTGCGTGATATCTATGGATTTGTAGAGCTGTTGGGAGGCCACATGGTCAGCGAGCGAACGGGCTCGGCATGAAATAAAATTACCTCGCACTCCATGCTAAAAGCGCTTTCCTTGACGCGCGAGGCTTTTATTTGCACCTGAACACTTGTTGTCAGCGCATATATCGTATCACAAAGCCGCACACATACGCATTTTTCCTTTGTCAGACCGCTGAGACTCCACTCGTCAAAACCGGGAGGAGAGTCTATGGCAGTTGCATTTGCACTCTCGATGAATGGCTCGCTGACGATGTTCACGCTAAATCCTTGGCTGTTCATCACATTCACCGCTGTGTCTTTGAGGCCGCCCAGGGCATTGTTGTTGCATGCGAATGAGATGATAGGCGGGTAGGTCGTGACCTAGCATGGGAACAAGTTATCGAACCGATGAAGAGACACGTTTCTTGTGAATTGCTCACTGTGTTAAACCAACTTGTGGATGCAAGCCAAGTAAGCGTGCAGAGCGCAGTAGATAATGGAAGCGTGTCTTACCTGTATGGTGCCAGGTTCTCTATGCCCTCCTCGCTGATCGTTGATACGAATGCGATGGGGCGCGGTACGATGCCCGAATTCAAGAGCTTGGTCATATTGCTATCGATCGCGGTCACGATTGCGGCTGAACAATAGGTCGAGGAGTACGTACACCTTGTCTAATTCTGCTGTGTTGTAGATTTTCCAGCCTGCAGATTCGCCTGCGACCCAGTCTTTTCCGGCAGGAGTGGTGTCGACTCTCTGACCGTACGTCCATGACGGATTGGGTGATTGGGTGTAGGTGGAATAGGTGGTGGAATCGAAGGGAGGGATGAACATCATGTTGGTGGATTAGTTGGACGGAAAGAGCGAAACTGGCCCTGGATTTATAGCTACATGGTTGCAGGTAAAGGCTGGTTTTCACATATGCGAAGCTGATGTTGGATCTACGAAGCTGACAGCGCTGATAACAACGGACCCGTGATGGTGTCCGACAGTCCGAGTAGATACTTGAAATTGCTTACTATAGCTTGCTTACTACTGGGCACGTGCATGGCTTCTAACTTCGCGATGATCGCTATGCTGTGCAGCGCTGACACACTTCTTAACCGCCGGCTCGGTGTCAATGTTGTCCAACCACGTCAAGGGATTCGAAATCGCACGAAAAGAGCCTGCCTCTCCGCATCATCATCTTTACAAGCATTCCGACTCTGAGTTAGAACCTCCCGGGCCCTCTATGGAAGCTTATTTGCCAGAGAGTTTGGAAATCTTGATAACATGATGTGCGTCCGCATGACTTGCAATTGGAGTTTGTCGGATAATACAACATTTAAATTTTAGACACACACAATTGAGGTGCTTTCAGTGATGCATCTTCACGGGAGCGGCCGCCCGGAAGGAAATCTTGGCCGGTAACTGCGACAGGAAAACGCGTTTTACCTTCTGATTTAAAGGACACTGTCCTAACATTTTCAAATAAGAGAGCACTCCTGCTTCCAATTCAGGAGACGGAATCCACGAGGGAAAAAAAAAACGACAGCCTACTCCATCCGAATATCAAAATTGACGCTACAGCCTACAGGATGTCTCGTGACGTGTCAGTTATTATGCTATCACGGATATCGACTCAATTTGGCAATGTGGTATATTTTGGTACTGCTCGTGGGTATGCCAGAGATATATCCCATTGCCAATTGCATTGAATCCCTCCAGGGGGTGAACTCCAGGTTTCTGCGACATAATGGTAGACGGTGGTATCCCATTGTTGAAACCCCAAGAAAACTAACAACAATGACACGTTCCTATAAGGTGAGTTTGCCCACGATCAACACCATCTGATTGGGCGCTAGACCCTTCCTGACATTAGAATTTGTAGTCACAGTTGTAGTCATGGGCAAAAATCATGGTTAGCGCGAGACAGCAATGACCTTGTTTACCATGGTCTCTAGCACTCATGGGGACTTCGTATGACTACGATTTATGTAATGTGCATATGCCAACTCTGATACTCAGGCCCTGGTGGCTGACACTTTCAACTGGCACTGACAAGCTCCTATTTTTATATATCAATGTTGGGAGTGATATATTTATGATTTCTCGAATCACCAGAGAGTCGTGGTATGCACTATTTACGGCCACCTGGACTCGGAGGTGCCGTCTGATCCATACCCTTCCTTAGACTATTCCACCCTCGACCGCTTCCCCATCGTGCACGGATGATCAGGAAGGTGCGAAAGTTTGGCTTCGCGCGTTTGAAGACGCCAAAACCGTTTCGAAAAAAATCGAACTTACTTTCTCTCGCAGTTCTGGTCCCGGAGGGCAGGTGCATCTATATTGCCCATTTTCCTTGTGAGACTGCGGTGAACTTGATTGATATTGGTTAGAATGTCAACGAGATGGAAACCAAGGTTTCTGCGCGCTGTCGTGTAGAGGCACCTTGGATAACGATATGGGGGCGCGAGAGTCTCGTGAGGACTGTGATTTGTGCAGCTTGTCATGCGATTGTCAGACTGAAATTAGTATTTCAGTCAAGCCATACTACATCGGAACATTGTATTTTTTACTGGTGTCATCTAGCGCGTCTCGTTCGCAAGCACAAAACATTGGTGATTCCCTTGGCAAAGTCTGTTCAATATGTCGACTCTGTATCTCAAATTGAACATAATTTCTTTTCTCAAGATGCATGCCGTCGTGAATGCTGCCAAGAACTTTACCAGCCAGCGAGGGTGGAACCCATTGACACCGAGCCGGCGGTTAAGAGGTGTGTCAGCACTGCACAGCATAACGGGGCGATCATCGCGCAGTTAAAGGCTGCACGTGCTCATAGCTATAGTAAGCAATTTCAAGTATCTACTCGGACTGTCGGACACCATCACGGATTCCTTGTTATCAGCGCTGTCAGCCTCGTATATGTGGAAACCAGCCTTTACCTGCAACCATGTAGCTATAAATCCAGGGCCAGTTTCGCTCTTTCCGTCCAACTAATCCACCAACATGATGTTCATCCCTCCCTTCGATTCCACCACCTATTCCACCTACACCCAATCACCCAATCCGTCATGGACGTACGGTCAGAGAGTCGACACCACTCCTGCCGGAAAAGACTGGGTCGCAGGCGAATCTGCAGGCTGGAAAATCTACAACACAGCAGAATTAGACAAGGTGTACGTACTCCTCGACCTATTGTTCAGCCGCAATCGTGACCGCGATCGATAGCAATATGACCAAGCTCTTGAATTCGGGCATCGTACCGCGCCCCATCGCATTCGTATCAACGATCAGCGAGGAGGGCATAGAGAACCTGGCACCATACAGGTAAGACACGCTTCCATTATCTACTGCGCTCTGCACGCTTACCTGGCTTGCATCCACCAGTTGGTTTAACACAGTGAGCAATAAACAAAAAACATGTCTCTTCATCGGTTTGATAACTTGTTCCCATGTTAGGTCACGACCTACCCGCCTATCATCTCATTCGCATGTAATAACAACGCCGTGGGCGGCCTCAAAGACACAGCGGTGAATGTGATGAACAGCCAAGGATTTAGCGTGAACATCGTCAGCGAGCCATTCATCGAGAGTGCAAATGCAACTGCCATAGACTCTCCTCCCGGCTTCGACGAATGGAGTCTCAGCGGTCTAACAAAGGAAAAATGCGTATGTGTGCACCTTTGTGATACGATATATGCGCTGACAACAAAGTGTTCAGGTGCATATAAAAGCCTCGCGCGTCAAGGAAAGCGCTTTTAGCATGGAGTGCGAGGTAATTTTATTGCATTTCATGCCGAGCCCGTTCGCTCGCTGACCACGCTGCTTCGCAACAGCTCTACAAATCCATAGATATCGCGCACTCAGTCACAGGCGAGCACACCAGCACGCTCATTCTCGCGCACGTCAAGTACATCCACGTGCGCAAAGACATGCTCACACAGAGAGGTGTGATCGACCTGACAAAGTTCAAGCCTGTCGCGCGTGTGGGCGACATCTCATATGCGCGCGTTGGAGATGCATTCAGGATCGCCTCTCCAACATGGGCGCAGGACAAGGCGAAGATACGTGATGTGTTGGACGGTGCGAAGATAGGAGAAGCGATGGCGACTCTGGCATTGCTATGACATAGAACGAAGGAAGCCAGCTTGTTGTTTCATTAGTAACATATACCATAGATAATAATTAATAGATGTTAGCATCCACGCGTGATCATGTCCGTTTCCATTACCCATCCCTGAGGTAGTCCTTCGTTATAATCATTGACTAGCATGAGCCGCCCTTTTCAATTTCAACAATCGAGTCGTCGTTGATGTCGCCGACAAAGTCACAAAGCCATTCATGCTGTACGTTGAAACCTCGTTCTGGAAGTCGACATCTGAGACGGGCGGGCGGGCTTCGTGCGAATGGATGGCCTCCACGCATCCTTGGCGCTGTTCAATGTACAGAAGAAGCACAGCTTAATGTATGGATCCACGCATATATATCTATCCATACGTGAGCTCACATTCTGGGTTACAGATAAGTGGCAGCTCATGGCGGGGGAGGATGGAAGTGGTCGGTTGTGTACATATTGCTTGTAGATCAGCTTCAAGGACATTCCATGGGTATTGCTCGTCTCATACGTCAAATTCACTAGGAATATAAATAACACCAAAAATGCATGCCGCCACAATATCTCTAGCGTCCTGACCATGTCCGGAATAGAAGAAAGGTCTTTGACTTGTGCAATAATATCATGATCTGACGCGATTCTCTTGTATTCCCCGCCGCGCTGCTGTGCTAGCAAAAATGCGCTGAAAGGCTGCTCAAGACGAGCAGCCAATCGCAAGGCTAGATCGCTCAGTGCTAAATCAACCGACTCCTGTGCTTCGGGGAACTCGACAGGCGAATCCTGTAATGGAGACCCGGGCGAGGAGCGAGGACCAATAACCTTCCTCGCTCTCCGTGTCGTCAGCAATATCAGCTAGCTCTACCAGGCCTGACGGTTCCGCGAAGTCAGGAAGCTCGAGGAGATGATGATTCCACAGACGAACAAGCAAGAATGTCTGCATGGTGGGTCGTGGTGATGAGAATCAACTTGTCCTGCGTGGTGATCAGCAGGTCATGAAGCCCGTCAGCCTTGACTTCATGTATCTCCTGGTCCTGAGCACGATTTCGTTTGATTGCTGTGACACAAATGCGATGCAAGGCAGATGCAGTCTGCAGTTCGCAAAACGAGGAGCGTTGAGGCTGTCAAGGAGGGCGTAAATTTTCAACACCGAATCTACAGCTATGGCATGTCGGAGCGAGGAGATTGACATCTGAATGACATCTTCGGACAGAGATGGCGCAGTGTTGGCAGAGCTTTGTATAAAGTAATGTCGGCCGGTAGACAGCTATTAAATTCGGATGATTGTCCCACCCAGTCCAGGGCACTGATATCGCCCGACTGTGCTACGACCTCCTGCAAGAGCCTCCCAAGCGCGTTTTGCTTCTTCTCCCCATACATGACAGGTAGTCTGACACCGAAGATACCAAACAATGAGTATGCAATATCTTCAGGCCACGTGGTGACACGCGCAGACGCCCATTGGAGGCGAGGAATTCTTGAACTGTCCATCCTCGCGGGTTCCAAATGCTACTGGCGAGTGCACCAGGCTGCGACAAAGGTGGAACACCCGACAGGTAGATGATGGTAAGCGCTGAGTGGCGATACCAGATAAACATCGAGTTGACTGATTGTTGGACCTCTACGTTGTTAGTCTGGTCGATGCAACAGGTGTCGATCCATGTCCAGCAATACCCCATATCACGAGCAGTTTTAGAATGACTGCAACTTCGCGATGCCACCGACTGGATTCAAGTAGTATACCACCTTGCCCTGGACGACATGCAGCAACGGCTCCGTCCCTTCCCACCTATGCGATAGCATGACATAACGAAAGTACATCGCCACCACGTCTCGGATGCGCTCCACTTGGAGGTCTGCATGGTTCATTGTGGATGACAAAAGTTCTTTGCACTCTGCGCTTGTTTTGAAGGCATTGATGAGTGCCCCGCGATTACATAAGCGCCCCGTGGGTGTGACAACATTACATAGGCTAAGGCTATAGTCAGGCCTCGTCAATCTCCAGCTGTAGCTTTTACGCCTTGTAATCTCGATCACCCCAAAATTTGTCCACCTTGCTGCCTAGCTCGAGAGCACCATCGCGGGAACTTACGGACAGCCTGACGCCACAACTTTGTGTCACGACTTCAGTCTTTTGAGAACTTACCCTCTGCCCCACAACGTCCAAGGTACATTCCCAGTTGTTCCAGTCCTTATCACGTTTATAATCCACCTGTGTCCATGGATCAATGTCAGTATTTTCATCTTCCACTCCAACCTCGCTGTCTCATTTCATCGACAGTTCGTGATTACGAAGGAACTTGGGAGAAGCTTTCCCAAGTTGCTGTCAAGGGTGCCGAATATGACTCCCGTGAACGTCAACCTCATCCGCAATGTTTAGAGGGCACGCGGCTGGACCTACTAAACTACATCTACGAATCATTGGATGACCGAAAGAAGAGTCAGCTCATTTGGTTGCATGGCACGGCTGGTGTAGGAAAGTCTGCTGTTGCGTTCACTGTCGCTGAAAGAATGAGAGGCCTGAAAGTGACAGAAAGGAGCAAGGAAAGGCGACTCGCGGGGACATTCTTTTTTTCGCGCAAACACACGAAACGACGTACAACTGGTTTTTTCTTTGCGACACTTGCCTACCAGATTGCCAGCAATTTTGCCAGCGTCCGGGAGGATGTGAACGAAGCGATCAGAGGGAATCCTGCGCTTTTAGACCCCGACAAATCTCTTCGTGACCAGATGGAGGCATTGTTTCTCCCCCCTCTCCAGAGGCTTCACTTCAGACTGTGCGAGTGTCCGCCTTTGACGTTCGTTGTTGACGCCCTGGATGAATGCACATCGGAAAGCGAGCTTGCTGATCTTATCTCCTTGCTTGGTCAAGCTCTTCGCGAACCTGGTCTGCCCGTGACCCACATTTTGCTCACAAGTCGCTCCGAAGACCACATTTGCAAAGCCATGCAGACCAAAGACATACGCCCGTTGGTATGCGAGATACCAGTGAAGACGGGCATCGTTGCCACCATCTCATTAGACGGCGTTGATGTTGACAAAGACATATATATATTCTTGCAGCATTCGTTCAGAGAGCTGCAAAGTCGTCATTGCAACTTTCCCCAGCCAACGGACGACGAGCTTGCGCGACTGGCAAGCCGAGCGGGCAGACGTTTCATCGTGGCCTCTACCATGATGAAGTTTGTGGATGACGGGTACAATGATCCCCGTGATCGGCTTCAGCTCATGCTTGAGCTAACGAGCAACCTGCTACCAGAAACGGAACTCTACAAGTTATATGACCTCATCCTTTCCACGTGTGCTCACTCTGCGCGGGCATACCTGCACTTGTCCGTTGTTGCTGCCCTCGCAGACCCTCTTCCGATGTCACAAATTTCAGAGCTTCTTGGACCTGGTCAGGGCAGGGACGTCGAAACAGCACTGGTGCAGCTACGGTCTGTCATGAATGTTCCTACTGACAGTACTCTCCCCGTGACTATATATCACTCATCCGTTCGTGACTACGTATCAGAGCCCTCAAACTG